GTTTCTAATCATTTCAACCTCGACGACCATTCAATAGACGATCTCACCCTAATCCCAATTGAGCGTGTAGAAATTGACTTGCCCGAAGATGAAAGTACCAAATTCCGTCAATCTAGGGAGGCCCATTGGATTGAGACGTTGAATACAGCAAGACCTATAGGACTAAATATTCATCATAATGTAGGCATAGCACCCTTTGTTGTCCCGTTTAATACAACCAGCAATCGAGCAAGCAAGATAGTTCATGCCCACTATAAGAGCCTTCAAGAGAAATTCCCCCATGTCTATAAGCAGAAAATGATAGTTGCATATTCAAAAAATAAGAACTTAAATGATAATATTGTTCATAGTAAACTAAAAACAATCAGTACATAACAGATACTATACTTCTCGCCCATCGGGCGAGTTATTTTTTCTAATTTCAGATCAGAATAAGAACAGAAGAAAACCCAATATCAAGACCCTTAATCCTAATTTCTAAATAAAGTGTCTGCTCCACCCTAGGCCTGTACATTTGGGAGAATCAAACCCTCCCTTCCCCGAAATCCAAGATCCTCTTCACATGTATACCCATTTCAAATAAAATCTCGAAGAAAGCACAACAGAACCTGAGCACTCTCAACAACATGATGATGGAGTCCAGTATCAACAGCGCAACAATCTTACCACCCTACGAAGAAGAATAAGAACCAGTTGATAATCTTCATTGGTCTCCAGAAACAGCAAACAGCAAACAGCATTTATTTGTTTTGGATACACCAGCTTCAAGCATCGAGTAAGTCTTTAAACTAATTACTGGGGATAAAAATACTGAGAGGCCAACGCTAGGCCAAACTGTAGTTAACTTGAGCCGCAAAATTCTCACACCCCTTCAGCATTCAATCTTAGACCGTGGACTTAAATTTATTCCCACACCAAAGATAGCTAACTTGAATTATCTCCGACCATCCATTGAACGATTTCAACGAAATCTTAGATGCACATATTTTTTTCGAAACCACCCCCACGTGGTGCTAGAACAATGTTTATTCCTAAATCCACGTGGACACCCCCTCAGGCCGCCATCCATCCTGAAATATTGAAAGCATTTGCGAGTATGAATAGCCAAACAGTGAACCTTCCATAACACACGAAAAGCCTAATCTCACATGAGTGGAACGTGAAGCGTTAAACTTACTTAAGAAAGACGATAGCATTGTTATTAAAAAGAGTGACAAAGGTTCATGTTGTGTCATTCTGAATAGGGAGGATTACGTTTCAGCAGCAGAGAATCAACTGAATAATCCTAAACATTATGCCATTTTACCGAAACCAATTTTCAAAGAAACTGCTAACATGATTAATAATATTCTTGCCGATTTAGTCAAAACTAATTATCTCAAACAGAAACAATATGACTATCTGTCTGCCAAACCTGATTGTCGCGAGAGACATTTGTACACTTTGCTTAAAATCCATAAGAATCCAACCAAGGAGTGGTTTATCTCGAATAAAATCCCTAAAGGCCGCCCGATTATATCTGACTGTGGTAGTGAGTCATATGCAGTGTCAGAATACATTGATCATTTCTTACTACCTCTAGCATGCCAACATCGCGCCTACCTTAAAGACACAACCGTTTTTGTCAATAAAATAAAAAACCTTCGAGTTCCCTCTAATGCTATTTTAATTTCTATCGACGTTTCTTCTATGTATACCAATATCGATAACACTACTGGTTTAACGGCAGTTCGTAAAGCTTTTAATAGAAACCCAGATCCAAACAGACCCGACGATGCAATTCTACAGCTTTTAGAGATTTGTCTTAGTCGAAACGATTTCGCATTTAATGGTAAAACATATTTACAAACTTCAGGGACAGCAATGGGCAAACGATTCGCCCCTTCGTACGCAAACCTTTTCATGGCAGAGTGGGAACGTGAGGTGTTGCCCCTCTGTCCATTTGACCCACTTTTTTACGGACGCTTTTTGGATGACATTTTTATGGTTTGGACTTATTCTATCGAACAGTTTTGGGAATTCTTTGAAATTCTCAACAACCACCATCCTTCTATCAAACTAACCGCAAACGTGAGTGACAAAAGCATAGACTTTCTCGATACCACAGTCTTTAAGGGAGATTCCATAGCAGAAACAAATAAACTGGATATTAAAGTGTATTTCAAAGAAACTGATACTCATCAACTCTTGCACAAGAGCTCCTTTCACCCAAAACATACCTTTTCTGGTATAATTAAGTCACAAGTTTTACGATTTCATCGAATTGTACAAGATCTTCTAAGAGCGTGGGTACTCTAAACGATTTTTACGAAACATAAAAAATTACACCTTAGCACAGATAGCAGCTAAAAACAGACTTTATGCCGAAGTACCTCCA